ACCTGAACCAATAATATATATATATATAAATCCTCTAATTCCTACTTGAGTTCTTCTACATAAAAATACTGAATGAGCCGAAGATTTTACTCGAAGTTTAAATTCCATTAAACTTTGCATTTCATTCTTTCATTCCTTAATTCCATTTTGTAGAGAAGTACCTTAATTTGATTTTTTATCATTCAGTAACATTGTCATTATCATTCGTATCATTTAGTACTTTTTATCATTAGCTTTTATCATTTTAATCATTTTTTATCATCACAGAATCAGACACCGAAATTTTTAAATAATCGTCAGATTATGATCAAAAGCATACCTTATAATGTGCTTTAACTAAACATGTAACGTCCTAAACTGAGTATGAGATTATATAGGTGCAGCAAGTGTTGGACATATTTAGATGAAGTTTAGAGTGGCTTTTAGAAGGTAGAACGTTATTCATTTAGAGGTTGACATTCTAAGGAGACCCGGGAGAATACCCGGTCAGGTAGAACATTTATAATCAGTACTTCACCTTTAAAACTTGGGAAACTTAAGTCCTACGGATTCGGGTATTTGGTACATCCCCAGGTGGAGATGTAATGCCCAGAATGTGACTTTGAATTGAGAATAATGGTGTCTCTCATTCCCAAAGCCTGTTTACGATTGATCTAAGTTTGTGTCAGGTTTGAATTTAAAAGGGATTTCCTAAAAGGTCAGTTTTACATGAGAGTTTATGAAGTAGAAAATGGTACGATTTATATTGAAATTATAAACAAAGTTTTATTTTTGATATTATTATTTTTTATATTTTGTAACTTTGGATAAGTTTTATGTTTTTCCATTAGTTTTGAAAAACAGAAATACTATTGCATTCAATGTAGTTCAGTTTAACTGAGAAGTAAATAAGATAAATTCTACATAATTTCTTCAGTATGGTATGTTTAAAATTCTTAAAAATATAATTTATTATATATAAAAGAAAATTTTTCAAATTAGTTAACTTATTAACATTTAGAAAGTTTTTAAAGAAATTAAAGTGATTAAAAATACTGGAAAATTGCGATTAACTCATATTTTTTTTAAAAAAAACTAATTTTCCTAAATTTTAAATTTATTATAAAATTAGAAATTCAAAAAAAATATGATTTTTGAAGCATTAATCCTATATACAGTTAAAACAAGGATTCTATTTTTTTTCAATTTTGATTTTTGAAAAAACAAATATTTTTAGAAACTGAGAAAATTGTTTGAATTTTATGAGAATTTTATTACGAGAATTTCTTTGCCATAAATTAGCAGCATAAGATCTTCCTTTTATAGTCTGTGAAAGAGAAAACAAAGAAGTAATGTTGTTAAAAATATCTATAACAATATGGCGTTGCTAATTGTCAGTCGTAACCTTTTACAA